TTTCCACTTGTTTCCTCCTTGTCACGGATGGTTTTTAATTGTTCAGCGAAGAAAGGGGGCCTTGTTGCTATGTTCTTTTTATCCACATGAAACTGACTAGGGCCAGAAATTCTGAATGTGATTTTCAAGTTTGAAGTTTAGCACTTGTTCTCAAAATACGCTCATTCTGTGAGTATTTTGAATATCTGACAGTTTTATAAAAAGACTAATATCTTTTTGATCAGATGTGAGTTTAGTGACTCCTGCGAGGATCTGTTTTAATCAGGCCAGCGCGGCCACCCTTAGCAGGGTTCCCTGGTGAGTTAACCCATCCATGCCACTGCTGCAGGGTTCTGAGAAGTGGGGGGAGGGTGGCTGGGGAGGAGGGAGCTGTCCTGAAAGGTACTTTGCCTTCATCCACAGGCTTCCCTTTTTGAGACAGCCCGGCTCCTGCTTTAGCCAGCCAGGACCAGCTGAGTGCTGCTCTATTGGTGGTCTCTTTCCTTGTGATTTTCCCCCGAAGTCAGCACCTTGTCTACAGGGCTGGCCCCAAGCATGTCGTGTGGTGTTGGTGATGAATAGCCACTCTGCTCTGGTGCGGTGCTCCCATCGCTGTGACTTGTCACAAGTATGGCCACCGGGCACCAGCGCTTCCTATTCTCCGTTGAAGCCAGTCATTTGTGGGGAGATAGGAGCTGCATCAAGCTTCTCCTGGCAGTATCAAAGCATGGTTAGAAATGGATGACTTTCCTGTTACCTTTTTCTGTTTAATTAAAGAAAATATTTTACTACCTTATTGTGGTATAATTGGTGTACAATTAAATGCATGTATTTAAAGCTTTAATTTGATGAGTTTTTTTTTAACATGTGTATACCCGTGAAGCCATCGCTTTCCTTGTCTGTCCCTCTTTTAAGACTCTTTAGACTAGAGGAGCACCCAGAGAGGAGGAGTTTTTACCTGCTCCTGCCTTTAGAGTTGCTTTTCCAAATCCCAGCTGAGAGTCTGTTTACTCTCCTGTCTTTTAGCTCGGCACTGGAATTGAAATTTGTTGTGTGGTTTTACTTACATAACAATTAATGAATTTCAAAATAACATAGGGAAACGTGGTAAGAATGTAAATTGGTGCAGCCACTGTGGAAAACAGTATGGAGGTCCCTTAAAAAACTAAAAATAGAGCTACCATATGATCCTGCAGTCTCTCTCCTGACTATATATCCAGAAGAGATGAAAACTCTAATTTGAAAAGATATGTGCACCCCAGTGTTCATAGCACAATTTACAGTAGCCAAGACATGGAAACAACCCAAGTGCCCATCAGCAGATGACTGGCTTAAAAAGGTGTGGCGTATATATACAATGGAGTATTCCTCAGCCATAAAAAATGCTACCCTTTGCAGCAGTCTGGATGGACCTAGAGATTGTCATATTGATGAGGTAGACAAACATTATATACTACTTATATATGGGATCTAAAAAATAATACAAATGAAAATGTATACAAATCAGAAACAGACACAGAAACAAATTTATGGTTACCAAAGGGGAAGGAAGAGGGATAAATTAGGAGTATGGAATTAACAGATACAAACTACTGTACATAAAGTAGATGAACAACAAGGACCTACTGTATAGCACAGGGAACTATCTTGCAATAACCTATAATAGAAAATAATCTGAAAAAAAACCCCATGTGTATTCATATATAGTAGAATCACTTCATTCTCACCCTGAAATTAACACAGTATTGTAAATCTTCTATACTTCAATTTAAAAAAATCCGAAATTTTAAAATATAAAAATAATATTGGGAAACCTAGGAGATTTTATTTTATGTTTTTCTCCTTGAAACAGAAAGTGGCTGAGCTTGGAAATTACCTGGTAGGGGCAAAGGAGTCCAGGCTCGATGTGGCCGGATCTGGGTTTGTCTGAGCACTGCTCTTCTGTACAGGACTGTGTGCCTTGGGCTTTAGCACCTGTACCAGCATCTTCCTCATGAACGCCACAAGGGGCGTTCTGGGGAGTAAAGGAGAAAACATTAAGGTCATAATTAAGGTCTTGGTGAACCCAGGGACACGAAGTGCATGGCGGCTCTGACTAGGATCTCCAGGACCGACTTGGTCCCTTGGAGAAAAGGGCGGCTTCTTTCTTGTGGTTTTAAAAAAAACATGTATATCCTGGGAGTCATTCATTCTCTTTTTCTCTTTTAAATTAAAAACAAAATACATGTACATTGCTAAACACAGTCCAATAAAGTGGTTTAAAATTTTTAATGTTTAATTTTTTAGTACTCAGTTCATTTTTAAATTTGAGGTATAATTTATGCAGAAGACCCACATATTAATGTTGAGTTGGATGGATTTTGATGGTTGTCACACTCACGTTGCCACCACCTGAAACACAAAAGCGAGCACTTCCATCGTCCCAGGCTTTCCTTCCGCCTTCTCCAAGCCGTCACTCCTGCCACCCCGGATTTCCGTCACCACAGCTGGCTTTACTTGTGAGGGGCTGAAGATGAGCTCCTGCGGTGTGTGCTCTGTGTCCCGGCCTGGTCTGAGATTCATCCAGGTTTTTTCCGTTTTACTGAGTAGTATTTATACAGATGTGTCATGATTTACCCGTTTTCCTGTTGATAAAGGTTTGAATTATTTCCCCTTTTTTTGGCTCTTATGAATAAGATTGGTGAACGTTTTTTACAGGTCTGATTGTGGGCACGTGTTTTCATTCTTCTAGGGACAGTATCTAGGAATGAATGGTTGGGCCCTGTGGGAAGTGCACTTGCAGATTTACAGAAGCTGGACTGTTCCACGGTCCCCTAGTATGAGCGCACCTCTGTGTCAGCAATGGTAGTGAATGACAAGTGATTTCTCAGACTTTCTTAGGAGGCAGTTTTATTGAGGTATAATTTACATACGAGTCATTCTTACAAGTGGAGTTGGCTGTGTTTAGCCCGACGTGCACAGATGAGTGGCAGCGCCACCATCAGGTGACTCTATTCCCCCTAGTGGTACCCTCCCGGCCGCTGGCACCCCCGGCACCCCTGGCTGGTTTCCTGCCGCTGTAGATGAGGTCGGTCTTTCCTGGAGCTTCATACCGGTGGACCTAGCCCTGTTACTGTAGTAGTCTGACTTCTTTCGCATGTTGTATTTTCTTGAGATTTTCCCCATGTTGTGTATATTAGCAGTTCTGACCTTTGGTTGTTGAGCAGTATTTTGTTGCGTGGATGTACCACAGCTTGCTGGTGGACATGTAGTCATTATGAGTAAAGCTGCTGTGAACATACATTTCAGAGACCCTCCCTCTCCCTCCCCGGAGAATAAACTCCTGTTCTCGTTTGGAGTGGGGGTCAGGAAGGGGAGCCGAGTGTCTTACCGCTCACCAGACAGCCTCTCAGCTGCTCCTTCGGGTCAGAGCCCTTCCTCAGCTCCTGGAGACAAGTGCTGCCAGTCTCCACGTCCTGGGGAGGGCTTTCCTGCCGCCAGGCTGCTGCTTGGCCCTCTTCACTGCTGGCTGAGAGCATGGCTGCTTTGAGTCTGCTCAGTCACTTTCCAGTTCTGCTTTTAGGTTCCACAATGTTCTTCCTTCTTGATCTGTGTGGCTTTGTATCTTTTTATTATATTAATCTGCTTTATTGTCATTTTGGGTGGGGACAAAGGCAAATATATGTGTTCAACCAGCTATTTTAGACCCAGAAGTCTTTTTACCGCGGCCCTGGTGTTTGACAAGCTTTTCCTTTTCCTCTTGCTGAATGAACAACACTGATGAGCATGCTTACAGTTGAGCCTTTGTTCAAATCCATGCTTATTTCTCTTACTCTTTTTTCTTGAAGTATAGTTGATGTACAGTATTATGTAAGTTACAGATGTACAATAGTCATTCACAAGTTTCAAAGGTTACACTCCATTTATAGTTACTATAAAATATTGGTTATATTCCCTGTGTTGTACAGTACACCCTTGTAGCTTATTTTATACATAATAGTTCGTGTCTTTTAATCCCACACCCTATATTGTCCCTCCAACCTTTCCCTCCGCACTGGTAACCACTTGTTTGTTTTCTGTATCTGTGAGTCTGCTTCTTTTTTCTTATAATCACTAGTTTGTTGTATTTTTCAGATCCCACATGTAAGTGACATCCTACACTATTTGTCTTTCTCTTTCTGACTTATTTCATTTAGCATAATACCTTTCAAGTCCATCCATGTTGCCGCAAATGGCGAAGTTTTCTTTGTTAAGGCTGAGTAATTTTACATTGTATGTACCACATCTTTATCCACTCATGTGTTGATGGGCACCTCGGTTGCTTCTACATCTTGGCTATTATAAATAATGCTGCTGTGAACATTAGGGCGCATGAAGCTTTTTGAATTAGCATTTTTGTTCTTATAAATACCCAGCAGTGGAATTGCTGGGTCATATAGTGGTTCTATTTTTACTTTTTTGAGGAACCTCCATACTGTTTTCCACAGTGGTTGCACCAGTTCAGATTCTCACCAGCAGCGTAAGAGGCTTCCCTTGCCTCCACAGCCTCCCCAGCGCCTGTTATTTGTGTTCTTTTCGATGACAGCCGTTCTGACAGGTCGGGGGTGATGCCTCGTGGTTTTGGTTTGCATTTCCCTGACGACTGGCGGTTTGAGCATCTTTTCACATGCCATGCTTATTTCTTTAAAACAAATTTCTAGAACTGGAATGGGGCTAATGCCACATTGTGCCCCACTGGAAGGGTGTCCTAATGTATATCCCAGCAGGACAGGTACTTCTTTCCTATTCCTATGTGAGTTTACTCTCAGTAGACTTTCTCCTTTGGTTTTCCCCTCCTCCGAACCCCCTCCCCATGCCCCCACTTGCACACGAAGTGTAAGAACTGCAGTCTGATCTTAGTGGAGCACAGGGCCCAGCAGTGTCCGACCTTGACCGCGCTCAGGGCTGGAACACTGCCTCGCTCCCCGCTGCACACTTGGGTCCTCCCCTGTGTCCGGCTGAGTGTGGGTTTGAGTCAAGGCCGCTGGGCTTCTCTGTTTCAGGTTACACTCCTGGCACACCTTACAAAGTGTCCTGTTCCCCCACCAGCGGGGCAGTGCCGCCCTACTCCTCCTCCCCCAACCCCTACCAGACGGCCGTGTACCCTGTGCGAAGTGCCTACCCCCAGCAGAGCCCGTACGCACAGGTAGGCCCTGGCGCTGCGCGCGGGGAGTCGGTGGCAGCGGGGCTCCTGGGCGTGGGCCCTGGGTGGCACTTGTCTTTCTTCTTCCCCGCAGCAAGGCGCGTACTACACGCAGCCCCTGTACGCGGCACCCCCTCACGTCATCCACCACACCACGGTGGTGCAGCCCAACGGCATGCCGGCGACCGTGTACCCTGCGCCCATCCCTCCGCCCAGAGGCAACGGGGTCACCATGGGCATGGTGGCGGGGACCACTATGGCCATGTCAGCAGGTGAGTCCTTGGCGCTGGACGCTGCTCTGTGATGGCAGGAGAGCTGGCGGGGAGAGCTCTGCCGTCCTCCGAGCCTTGGCTTTGCCTTCTCATGGCTGGAGGCTGGTGGAAGGACAGCTGAGTCTTCTGGGAAGAAATGGCATGTTCTCTTTTTCTTTCCATCCCCTCCTTCCCTTCTTTTGGTTGAGAGGAGACTGGAGGGGGAGCTTAGTACCTGCCCTGCAGACCATGATGTGTCTGTTTTATTTGATTTTCCTCTCTGGGTTTGATGGGGCCACTGTGGTGAGCATCTGGCAGGAGGGACAAGGAATCACCAAATCCCCAAAGTGAGCACGTACAGCTTGTGCGGAAGAGGGTCCTTTGTGACTGGGGGCGGCCCTCTCCATCCTTGCCTTCAGTTGGGCTACCAGTGCAGGCCAAGCTGCCCGCGTCGCGGTGTTTTGGTGAATCTGGGCAGGCTGGTCCTGTGTTCACAGAGACGAGCTGCCTGTGGGACTCCTTCATGGACTTGATTTCCTAGGACTTCCCCAGGTTGGGAAAACCAGCCTCGGCGCTCTGAGGCCCCTGCTGGGGAAGACCTATCTCCCTTGAACCACAAAGCGCCAGGGGCCTTGATTGAATGTCTAGTGGCCAGGTTCCCTCCTGTGGGCTTGTGAATTGTCTGCAGCAGGGGCACCAGGTACACAGCATGCACGTGGTTGCCCATGGCTGTGATATAAAAAGAAAAAAAAAGTACTGCTTTCTCTTTGTTTTTCTAGACTTTACTTCAGTGTAAGGAAGATGTGTCAGAGAGAGAGGTGTCTCAGGATACTGTGTGTGTTTCTGCTCAGAGCCCCTATTTTATTTGGTTTTCTCATACTCACCGATGAAGGCAAAGGAGAGCCTGGCACAGAGACTGCAGATCTGAGACCCAGGGCTGGGCCGGGGAG